GGCCATGCCGGGCCTAAAGTCTGGGTGAACTATACCCGAACCGTAGTTCATGGGTCGAATGAAGTTCTACAGAAGTTAAACATATAAATCCTACATCTAGGTTTATTAAAAGGTGCCTCTATGTCTCGACTCTCATAATACTTCTTTTTTTTACTTTAAGCATTTTTTATCAATGCGAATAGTTATAAACAATATAGTATTAGTTTTTCCTTTGAAACATGCGCACGAACAAGTGACCATTCACATAAACAGTTCTAGATTAGGCTAAAGAATTAGATTCAATAATTCACACAATTACTCTTTTTTTTTCTTCTTACTTTTACAAATAGAAAACTTGTCATGCTAAACTAACACAACATAACTCGGCAATCTGTTCGACGAGTTATGGCGCAATAAATACACAAGTCCATAAAGTCTTGTGAGCTTGGCATTACTCGAAAAATGATTTAAAAAATACTTACTCAGTGGCGTCTATATTATAAAGTGACTTGTGCTTGTCTGTCCGTGAGAAAAACTTTCCAACTTCTCGATCTCTGATCACCATGAAACTTTTAGGATTCTGGGGTATGCCCCTTAGAGATTCCAAAACCCCTTACTTTATTAATTTTTTCATTTTTTACGAGTTTGACTGCCATTTCAATTTTCTCCTTAGTGCTTATATACTAGGAGATGTAATATATGTGTTCAAGCATAAAACATCTTGATCAGAAATACTGGAAGTCAATAATTTACGTAAAAATTCCCTGTTGATATAAAAGCTGGCGCGATTATAATAATACAATATTTGTGCTTTCATGGGTCTAGAAACGTTATGTAAAAATTTCCAAAGGGCTTGAGAAAAATTTACATTCATACATTTATCGAAGAACCTGAGAGAGAGAGAAAGAAAAGGCTTTTACAGCCTTGAACGAATAATGGTTGGTAAATATAGTTATATTTTGTAAGTATTTGTAGTGTTAATTGGCGAGAGAAATTTCATTAACAAGAACTATATACTCTGTGGTCCTTCGATAGAAAACAGTAACAACGTTAATCTTGCCTGAATAGAGCTCTGTTGAATCTGCACATAAAAATGTCACAGCTCTTATGAACGTATAGAATTACTTACATAAGAAAATACAAATAAATTCAAATAATTCAAATGTAATTTTTAATTTTTTTTTTTTAAATTTTGACAAGTGAAACCAGAAAGTCTGATTAAAATCAAAAAAGGATAGGGGGGGAGAGCACAAAATAAAGCCTCAGTTGGTCAACGATATTTTATGTAAACAACTGTGGCTACGAAATTCTCCTAAGGTGATGTTAAATAACTCAGGGTACGAGATAAACGACTGTCAAGTATAGATCATGCCAACGAACTTTCTGTAAAATACAGGAGTGAAAGTTGCCTCGATAACATTAATGTATACGTTAGCTGCTGAGAAATGGTGATCAAAACAAAAGTTTGAAATAGTAAAATGAGAACAGATGGAGGTGTTTATTGTTTACAGCTCAATGCAAGTTATATTTGTATGGGAACAATCCACGACAGTTTGTTCTATGGCAGAGAAGAGAACGGTCTCATAGTCGATGTACATGTTCGAAGCTGTATATCTGCCAACGGTGATTTACACGAAATAACCGTCTTGACGTTAAAGAAGACTGAATGAACCGAACACTCACAATCGTGGCTTGGCCTGCACAAAGTCGCAATATCAACATATTTAAGATTGTTTCAGCTTGTGTAAAAACCAAGCAAGACAAAAGGCGAACAAATAACTTAGCTGATTTGTTGAAAGTAATAGAGGATATCTATCTATAAACTATATGGCAACATGAAAGCGAAGCCTAACGCTCTGTTTAAAGGAAAGGCCTAACGTATTGTTACGTCT